TCTCCTCACAAGAGAATCTTACTTGTAGTAGTAGAAGTGAGATCTTTGAGAACATCTTCACTCCTTCCCTTGCCAGAGTCCTAAACTGAGCATGGCGCAGTCGCTTGATGAAACATTACCTTGAGGAACATGAATCACTCCTGGTACCACACACAGCTTCCCTTTGGAAACATTCTCTCCCTTGTCTGTCAGGCAGGGGGTGTCTCTGGACTGTACTTAGTAAACCCTTAGTAGCTATTTGTTAATTGAACCAAATGATTTCACTAAATCCAGGGGAATCAATGTGCATTCAGTCTCCTCTTCTTTTTCCTATTTGATTGCCTTTACCAGTGCTTTGGGGAGAGAGGTGTGTCTTCAGCTTCCTCACCAGAGAAGGCTGATCATTAGATATTTAAGAAAGACATTTCAAAGAGAGAGAAGGCATGACAAATCTTCTACCTGATGATGGTTCTAAGGCCAGAACAATCTGAAACCCTTTTGGGAACAGACTCTGCAGTGATGTCAAAGTCCGATTCATTTGTAGCCCATAATCAGTGACTGACATGATGAGATATGTTTAGTTTATCCTTTGAGGACTTTGTATCTTATCCATAAAAGTACAAGTTTTCATGACCCTTGTTTGGGATTCCCAAAATGGGCTATACTTTTTAAGTCAATGCATTTTAATTAGCAGGAAAAATCAAAGTAAATAAATACAACTACAAGAACAAACAATATATAAAGGTTCAAAATAAAAAAAAATACATCAAGGAATCTTACCTTGAGAGGAAATTTCATATATTCAGTATATGTTTCATGTCATCAAAGACCAAAAAATTAGAACTATAATGAAAAATGATGGTAGGAAAACACAGTTCACACTGGTTTTATTATTTTTCTTAATTCTTCCTGATTTTTGGGGAACTATATTTATCAAACATGTGTTTGAGTGTCTAGTGGGTGAAAGATACAGACTGAGGAGCAGCAACTTCTTTGTGGTAGAATGGTGACAAATTATCAAATTCAAAATTTTCAACTCTTAGTAGGAAACACTGTCATATCCACACAAGTCACTTAAGTATTTGTTGACTTTAATGAAACTTGACTGATGACAAATGGTACATGTAGGTTTTATGGGAATCATCCCAGGAAACAAAATGTCTTTGTTATTGCTGAGAGAGTAAAGCAAAACACAGCAATGACTAACTTGTTTTAAAATATGTGCATGACACTCTATTTATGATACACGGTGAGCAAAATTATTAGCATCCTTATCTTCTTGCAGGGATATCATCGACGGTTTGATTTTACTCTCCGTATTGCGAGTTCATGCTCTTATTAGTATTACTACTAATGTGCAAATTACAGGGGTGAAGACAGTCTAGCTTCTTGCTTGGATGGTTAGCTCCAATTAATTTAATATCTTTGAATACAATTGATATCTTTCCTGAGCCCTCATTTATTATCATTTCCTTTTCTTAGGGTAAGTAAGGATGTTTGTAGTTGATTTGCTTTCTCTCAGAAGCAGATTCTAAGATATGCAGTCACTTGGGATGTGATATCAGGAGGCCCTGGCGGAGGTGAGGGGCAAAGTGATACAGGGAGGGGAGGACAGCCAAAGCATGGTACTACAATGAGCAGTGTACTGCTGAGGACAGCTGGGGTTCAGTCCCACTGAAGTCATCTGGGAAAGGGTGTAGAACATGCCTTAGAGTTGTCTCCAGTGAGAGGGAGAGAAAGCTGAGTTATATTTTCCCCAACTCCCGTAGTCTGTGCACAGGCTTCTCTGCACTTCAGGTCTTGCCTGCACAGCCAGGAAAAGCCCCCGTGCAGAGAATCATAGGTGCATGCCGCAGAATGCCACAATGTGTAGAGGAATTATGATTGCCCAGGGAATACGGACAGAGAACTAGCAGCAGATGCCACGGTGGCCTATGGATATGCACTATTTTATATGTCATTGATATAATGATTTAAACGATCAAAGTTTCCATTTGGAATCGTCATCGATTATAATAAGAAAGATGCATAGATAATTCTACACGTAACTCAGCATTTCTCTCCTCTCTGAGAACCTTCTTAACTTTCTTGCCAATAAACCTAAACACCTCCTTCCATTGTTTCAACACTCTGTCTTGTCACCCTGACGTATTTAAAGCTATCCCCTCCTTCTGCTCTCCTCCGTGTAAGTATCTTCAGTCTCCTTTACTGACTGCACTACCTGCTGACTCAGGAATATTCCTCTGTCATCGATCTCCTCTCACCTGAATATTCAGCTTCTGCCTCTCTCCCTTCACCCCTCCCATTGGCATTGCCAGATCCTTAACTATCTTCCCCCTTAAACAAGCAACCAAAAAATTGTCTCTTTTTCCCTACCTTCCCCTGTGGCTGGAGCCCTCTTCCCCTTTTGAATTAAACTCCTCAAGTCTTATTTAAAATCACTTTGGCCTTTTCCTCTTTTCTCCTTCTCTTCCTCCACGCTGGCTTCTGAACACATTTTTTGTTTCACTGATGGCTCCCAGATCTCTGAATTCAGTAACTATTCCAGACCTCTCAGATGACTCGCTCTCTCAGCCTCAGTGACAGTCCGTGACTCACTTCTTCAGAGGGATGTAAACTGCCTTTGTAACACTCAGATGTCTAGTTCTGGGGACACTCCATTTTCCTCTCTAGTTTTGGGGATACTCCGTTTTCCTCTCTAGTTTTGGGGACACTCCATTTTCCTCTCTGGATTCTCCTTCCTGCCAAATTTCCTAATTTCCTTTTTATGAGTTCGTTCAGTGTTGAGGCTGGGGTCATTTTTCCTTTTCCTGAATATGCACAGCAGGAGAATATCCCTCTCAATGCATACATTCTTCAAGTATGTTTATGCAGCCAATAAACCATGAAACCAGTTCTTTAATTGTGCATGTCTGTGTTCTGCATCTTCAGGTGTTGCTCTTACCACTTAGAGCTTCTAGGGTAATCTTATTTTTCTCTCTTTAGATTCTTCCTTGGCACGTCCCTGCAACCACTAGGTAATGATGATATTCCCCATTGCTCTTTGCTTGCCATTTGGTGTGTAAGAGGATAGTCTTCAGATCCTTACCAGGAATATGTTCACGTGTTTTCATCATCTCTCTTCTCTAATGTTATAACTCCCAGACTAAGGAGAATAATTTCATTTGCCTCCCTTTGGGTGAAGACTACTTTACCATTTTAATTTCTCTTCTCTGGAAAATTTTAAATCCATATCTATGATGACTAAGTTTTATCCAGGTGTTAACTGAATTAATGTGGTAGCATGATTAATTTGGTGTGAGAGAAAAACACAGGTAATTCCAATCCAGGACCAGCTACATAATTTGTGAGGTCCAGCCCAAGATGAAGATGCAGTATCCTTTATTCAAACACAATTAATAATTTTGAGAAGTAAAAACAGAGCAGTAGACCAGGCACGGGGTTTTTCTGAGCACAGGGACCTATGTGATGGGACCAGTTGTACAGCCATCAAGCAGACCTGGTGCAGGTGTTCAAGGGCAGGTGGCAGCTGAGAATTAACTTTATAAATGAGTTTCAAATAAGTTTTTTAACTAAATTTCATGAATACCAATTTTGGAATAAAATAGTGTATAAAATAATAAAGTTGAGTGAGTATATTTATTTAGGACACTGTAACTATGCTTTTGACACAGAGTATTGTGGTGAATAGAAATATGTAGTTAATAAGAAAACACTTTCATTTCACATTTATTCTGGACTGAGATATAATGCTTTGTTTATCCTGAGGGCTCCGGAGTCAGGTTGCTTGGGTCCTAAAACCTGGCTCTATCTACTCTGTAGAGTGTGGGTCACGAAGCACATTTTTTCACCTTTCCCTATATCAGTGCACACAGGTATGGTGATGATGACAGAGAGCCTATCTCATAGGTTTGTGACACAGATTATTATATTTCAAGTCCTTTGAAGAGTAAGCTCTGTGACTCTGTTATTTCAAACAAGTCTACTCTGTTATTTCAAAATTCTGTTACTTTTTATTTTTGCCTTAGTGGATACGATGTCCCAGGTTTAGTTTATGTTCTCTTTCATGGTTGCAAATTCATGTCCAGCATAATATTAAAAATAGTTCATGATGTTGTTTGTGTAGAATTACACATTTGACACTTAGTCGTTGAAGCATTCAGTTAGTTCATGATGATAGAAATTAATACTGTATTTTTTTCCTTGTAAGAGTATGGAAAGGGCTGTATTTAAATTTTTTTTTCTTTGAACTTTTCTCCTATTGCCATTTGGCTTATTGAAAATCAAAGATCTAAATCACCTCGTTAATAGAGCAATCCAGTTAATTGTGTTACAGTTTATAAATTACATAACTTTCTAGTCTAATTCAGTTTAATCTCAGCATTTCGAGCTTTCTTGATTACATTTAAAGGCAAGCTTGTATGGAAATAATCCTTGTGATTATTGAATGCTACTTGCTTTTATTTTCATGTCACTGAATGATAAAGCTTTTTATATTTAATGTGAATTATGTTTATTTATGATAATTAATAATGTTTTGGGCTTTATTGAGACCATACACTTATTTACAATCTACAAACTAAATCCCTACCATTATGAAATACCATCTGAAATATTTGTTTTAAAAGTCAAATTTAGGACTGTGTCAAACAGTAATCATACTAATCATACTTTATATTATGTACTGATGGCCAATTTATTGTAATCCAGCTCACTTAAGATAGCTTCTGGGGAACTATTTCTCCTGAGCAGTGTGTGCAAAACAAAATGCTCTGGTCAGGTGTAGTTTCCAAATAAGAATGTCATAATCCTTCTAGGCATTTAACATTTAGGATTGTGAGAACCTAGGAAGTAATTAAGCAATAAAGCTATTTTTGTTGATTGTGAACATTGAAAAGACAGTGAAAGCAATATTTCCAAATATCACAGAACTTCCCAAACATGCCATGTACTTGACCCCTTCTCCCCCCTGTGGTTCTCACTATATAATATCTATGTTCAATCTCTCTTTCTCACATCAGACAGTATTACTGAAGTCTTCACTAACATCTACGTGACCAGTTTTGGCCCTGTCTCAGATACAGATATGGTGAGTTTTTCATTAATATAATGGGAAGTGTGTGTGGGCGGGGGGGGGAGCTAATTTAGAATAAACAAGTATTTTTAGTGTTATAGATTATGTGTCTGTCTCCTGCCTGTTTAGTCTACCCCCATACATGGAGATGTAAGGATCTTAATCTGCTTATATCTGTGGTGCGCCATTCCAACCTGAGTGTTCAGATTAACCTTTTATATTTTATATTATTTTCAAAACATTCTATCACAGTGTGATAAACAATTGTTTAAGTAAAAATAATGATATTGTTGAGAGCCGTTTTCAAAGATTAAGTCACCTTCTTGACTTCCATATGTCTGTACAGTTTTATAGATAACTGCTTTCTACAGATTGTGGTCACGGTCAGTGTTACAAATGGAAACCTTCTATTGGCACTGAGTAAGGTGTTTTTTTGTTCATACTAGGTACATAAATACAGTAGATACAATCCTTACACATAGTAGGGATGTATAAATGAATCTAAAGAAAACTAGAATCTTAATGTTCTTGAATTCTATGGAACTGGTCTTTATTTTTCTTTAAAATGAGATCAGTGGAAGAGGGAAATTGGTCTGTTGGGTTCGAAATTGGTGGACTAGATACAACATAGATAAATTCTTGATTAAGCATAAGAATTGCAATAATCAGTCTTCTACTTCTCCTGTTCCTATAGTGATCTGTTAGACACTTTTTTGTAGAAATTATTTTTCATCCACCTTCCTTATGGTCAGGGAGTGAGAATTAGAGGAGATGCCCTGTCCCTTTCTTGCCTGGTTGTCCTCCATCTGTGTCATCTCTCTCCAGTGTCTTCCCTTTCTCTGATACCTCAAGGGAAAGGGTGACAGGTGTGGAGGTTTTCCACCTGGAGAAACACACAAAAACTAAAGGTTTTCCTTTTTTTCGGATGCTCATAAACAACGTTAGCCTATTTCTTTTTTTTTTTTTTACTGAAGTATAGTTGATTTACAATATTGTGTTTGTTTCAAGTGTACAGCATAGTGATTCGGTTATTTTGTCTTCAGATTATTTTCCATTATAGGTTATTAAAATATATTGAATACAGTTCTCTGTGCTATATCGTAAATCCTTGTTGTTTATCAATTTTATGTATAGTAGTCTGTATCTATTAATCCCATACTCCTAATTTATCCTTCCATCCCCCTGCTTCCCCCTGGTAACCAAAAGTTTGTTTTCTATGTCTGTGAGCCTGTTTTTATTTTGTATATTTCCATTATTTCTTAAATTCCACATATAAGTGATATCATATGGTATTTGCCTTTCTATGTCTGACTTCGCTAAGTATAAAATTCTTCAGGTTCATCTATGTTGATGCAAATGGCATTATTTCATTCTTTTTATGGCTAAGTACTATTCCATTGTGTGTGTGTGTGTGTGTGTGTGTGTGTACACCTCACATCTTCTTAAACCAATTTTCTATTTATGGGCACTTGTATCCTTTCCACGTCTTGGCTATTTTAAATAGTGCTGCTATGAACACTGAGGTGCGTGTATCTTTTCAAACTAAGGTTTTCACTTTTTTCCACATATATACCCAAGAGTGGGATTGTTGGATCATATGGTAGTTCTATTTTTAATTTTTAAAGGAATCTCTATACTATTTTCCATAGTGGCTGCACCAATTTACTTTCCCATAATTATCCAATTTATTAGGCATTCTTTACATTGGAGAAGATATGCTGGTTTTATCATTAAAAAAGTCTGTTTTTCTTCCACCACAGCCACTTCTCTGACCTCACAGTTCTTTTGTATATTAACTTGGATGGTTGAAGATGTAAAGTGGAAGAGAGGTGATGACCCTCAACTTTAGGGAAGTGGTTGATATCAAAGTCTACAGGTCTTTAAAGTTCTTTCTAATTAGAATGTGAAAACTTAAGTGCCTTTTTTCCCACTCAACGTCAGGCCTTAGTCACAATTCTGCAATGACAAGAAAATCCCACTTTTCAACATAACCCCCCCTTGCATTATGTTACATTGTGGCCTGAAATATTAATCATCCTCTTTCCAGAGGTTAATTGCAGTGTATAGGAACTTGAAAATATGACAGAGACATATTTGTAGTGTGTGTACCCCAAACATTATTGGTTGATGGTAAAGGTAATATTTCTGTGCAGCTTGTCTTAGTAAATGCTCCATATATTGGAGAGACACAGTGAGACACCTCACCTCTATGTGGAATCAAGTGTAGAGAGTCAGAATTTTGTCCAGCACTACATTTAAAGATTAGCAGAATATCACACAAAATTTGGTTCTTATATGGTTAACTTTGGTGTTTTATTACCAGCCAAAACGTAAAAGTAAATGATATAGGACCTCAAATTATCAAAGTTTGCAATGTTGTAGATTTTACGTTGTAACTATTAGTGTTAACAGGTACTATGTTAAACTTTGTTTTGCAAAGTGAATTATTTTACCTCAAAATGTCAAAAGTAAACACATATACATAGATGATTTTTCTAGACATACAAATATTTGATATTTAGGGGGTTCTAGACAGTCATATATTTTTGGTAAAATGTTTGAAGTGACTTTTTTTTCCAGTGGTGATGACGGATTGAACTAATCCTCCACCTCTTTGTTCTGACCGTACTTTGGGATTACTGACACATTTAGAAAGCTGGTAGCTTCAACTCAAAATGGATTAAAGACTTGAGTGTAACACCTAAAACCATAAAACTCATAGATGAAAACATAGTGGATAAACTCTTTGACATTGGTCTTGGTGATGATTTTTTAAAATTTGACACCAAAAGCAAAAATAAATAAGTAGGACTGACTATATCAAACTGAAAACTTCAGCACAGCAGAAGAAGCTATCAACAAAATGAAAAAGCAAACTACAGAATGAGAGAAAATATTTGCAAATTATATATCTGATAAAGAGGTAATATCCAATATATATAAAGAACTGGCATAATGCAAAAGTAAAAAACAGAACAAAACTAAACCAAAAGCCACAATCCAATTTCAAAAAGGAAGAAAAACTAAATAGACATTTCTTCAGAGAAATCATACAAATGGCCAACAGGTACATGAAAATGTACTCAGCATCAATAATCATCAAGGAAATGGAAATGAAAACCATAATGAGATATCACCTCCCACCTGCTGGAATAGCCACCATCAGAAAGATGAGATACACTGTTTGATATCACTTATCCACTAATATGTGAAATCCAAAAAAAAAAACCAAATTAGTGAATATAACAAAAAAGAAGCAAACTCACAGATATAGAGAACAAATTCGTGATTACCAATGGGGAGAGGGAAAGGGGGGGACAATATAGGGGTACAGGATTAAGAAATACCAACTACTATGTGTAAAATAAGTAAGCTATAAGAATATATTGTACAACACATCACAGGGACTATAAACAACATTTTGTAATAACTATGAAATGATGACTATGTTGTACAACTGAAACTTATATAATATTGTACATCAACTCTACTTCAATAAAATAATTTTTAAAAGATTAGAGATAAATGTTGTCAATGATGTGGAGAAAAGGAGACCTTTGTGCACTGTTAGTGGACATGTAAATTGGTATAATCACTACCAAGAACAGTATGGAAGTTTCTCAAAAAATGAAAAATTAAAAAAAAATGAAAAACTACCATATTATTCAATAATCCACTTCTGTAATGAAAAGAAGATCTCCAAGAGATATCTGCACTCATACGTTTATTGCATTATTTACAATAGCCAAGGTATGGAAATATGGTGTGATATATATATATCACATGAGAAAGAGCAAAATCCTGGCAATTTTTGACAACATGGATGGACCTTGAGGTCATTATGTTAAGCGACTAAACCGGACAGAGAAAGACAACTATTGCATTGTATCATTTACATATGGAAGGAAAAAAAGTGAAGCTCACATAAACAGAGAGTAGCTAAATGGTTGCCAGCGGCTGGAGGGTGGGAAAATCAGGGAGAAGTTGGTGAAAGGGTCTAAACTCTCAGCTACAAGAAGAATGAAGTCTGAGGATCTAATGTCAAGCATGGTGACTGTAGCTGGCAGCACTACTGTAGAACTGAAACTCACTAAGCAAGTAGAACTGAAATGTTCTTGCCAAAAACAAACAAAATAAATATATAAATATGAGGAGATGGATATGTTAATTAACTAGACAGGGGAATCCCAAGTGTGATCATTTAGTTAGTATTTCCATGTAGGAAGTTTTTTCCAGGCATTTATTGGGTTTATATATTTTAAAAAACCCTAAATTCTGGGAGAAATCAAGTAAGGAAAAAACGGGGAAAAGCATTATAATTCTCCTGCAAGAATTAAAGCTTAGTAGTCAATATAAAGAATCCACTGATGTCAAGAAGAAACTCAGAGCAGGGGATGCTGACGGGTGAAGTTGAACACTCAAGGTTAAGGACAATGTGTTCCAGAACTGGGGCAGTACCATGTCTGAGTGAAGTCACAATTAGCCATTCAGGCGCCTAGCAGTTGTGTGCTTGTGTCCTGTCTGCTGCTGTCATTCTTAAAAATAAACTGAATATTTATAAGATATGTGCAAAAATACATAAATAAAAATAAAAAGCTGGTAGCTGATGTTAGGTGTGCAGTCATTAGCAACAGAATGAATTTAAATTCTCTTGTCTCTGAATTAAATTCAGATCTTTGGTCTCTTTAGTGAATTTAGCCCAACTACTTTAAAATTTTTAACAGGCTCAAGATAGGCTTTCTTATTTTAGGGGACACTACCACACATTATAGTAAACCTTAAAATGCACTTACATTCCAAACTATATAGGTTGAATTGAATTGAATGCGATTGAATTTGGCAATGTTTAAATTTTTAAAAATCAATTATTTTGAATTTTTAGCTTTCTTTATGTATTTTGGATTATGTGTATGTATGTGTGTGGGCACATGCATTTGCATATTGAGATAGTCCCTAAAATGAAATGTACATTTAATATCTCCATGGGCTCTTGAAATGTTTGAAGGTCCTAGATA